TCAAGGAGACAAGTTCAATTTGCAGTGCCTTTTGGAATGTGTTCTCACTTTCTCCTTTTCCCTCAGCCATGACTGGTTGGCTCTCTCTCGTCTTTGTGGTTGTAGTCAGGCATCACTTGTAAAATAACATGATGGTGTACCGTGGCATTTTCATCATAGTTCCTTTCAACCCAGACTCTGTAGGTGCTTTTTCTCGTGGACTCTTTTGTGACAGAATTTTTGTTGTGTGTTCTTTTTTCTTTCTCATGTTCTTTACTCAGACAGATGGAACAGTGACCAACTCTGCTGATTGCGACTTGTAACATTGAGCTTGGCTTGAAGTAATCACCTCATTTTTCCTCTTTCAATTATAAACATTTTGAGCATTTAGAAATCCTCGTAAGTGGACTGATGCAGTTAGTAGTTTCTGTCAGAGTGTTTCAGATTAGTGGCAGATGCCCAAAGCTTTTCTTGTGGCATTTGGCAGTTTGAGGAAAGTGTTAGAACTTTCATCATCTACTTTTGCCAAATGGATCAAATTATTCCTGTTGCCAGGAAGATAAAAATCAGCAGTCTGGAATCTTCTTTGATCTGTTTGGGGTTTTTTCTGGTTATGGAATGGAATGGAACAAATGGAGAATTATCAATCCTGTTTGAGAGACTGCTGCCTGTTGGTTGCGTTTGCTGTGTGGGTTTTTTTTTTTTCCTCGCTGTGTATTTCAAAATTAAGTTGCTGTTTTTTTTTTAATTCAGTGTGCAGGCAACACATCCTTCAGTCTGTTCTCATTGCAGTTCAGAATGAATGTAAATTAAATACAAATTAAGTATATGTATGTGTATCTATTTTTGTGTGTAGATAGAAGATGTTATTCCTTCTGGGGAGTAATAATTTTGTAGTTCAAATATACTTTAATAGACTTCAATATCATCGTTTTTTATCCTTGCCTAGTTCTAATTTTTAAAAGATTCCTCAATCATAGGGCTTTTAAAAACTAGTCTCAGTCAGCTTTGATTTCCTTTATTTGCAATGTTTTTTCTTACATCTGTTTATTCTCCCTAAAAGGACTAGTGGATGCACTGTAGTTGCTATTTTCCATGTGTTAGCGATTCTGCCCTTAATTGTGGATCCAAGATGAGGCAGAGGCAAGAGTGGTGGGGATTTTTTTTGGTTTTGAAGTTGGGTTTTTTGTTTGGTTTGGGTGGGTTTCACCCCCCCACCCCCCTCTAGTTTTGATGTATGGATCTGACTCCTCCTTTTTCATTTGTCTTTCTGTTTAAGCTTCATTTATATTGGAATCTGCTCTAGTATATTTCAAGAGAGAGAGTATAAGCCCCATTAATTGAAGCAAAAGCCACATTAACTGAAGCAATTTTGTTGAAACTGACCCAATAGTTGTATGATATTATTTGGTTTTGCTTTCTGGGGAAGAAAAGTGAGATAAATAACTCTTCTATTTTTGTGACTTGTCTACAATTAAAATGTTTGATTTTTGGAAAGTGTGGTCAATTCAAGGAATGTGCTGTCAGTTAATTAAAGAAAGAAAACCCTACTTATTTCCTAATTTATTAATTCTATCTTCTGTCCAAAGTGAAGCAGCTAGAGTAGGCAGAACCAGAAACATAGGTAAGAACAATAGTCTGGGTTTCTTTTCTCCTCCATGTAATACTACCAAATGCACATCTTCAGGACCTCCTCTGGACTGTGGGACCCTGAGCATGTTTTATATTTCTCATAGGTAGTGTCTTGTAGATACACAGGGACAAACTGGTTATACAGGTGTCATGAAGCTCTTGTTTAGATTATGGCTGATGATATATGTGCTGGTAGGTTTGTTGCCAACACAGTTTTAGCGTTGTTATCCTGAATGGTGGCTCAGAAGTGTGTGGGAGCACTGGCGTAGAGCAGCATGTGCTGTCACAGTAGAAGAGCTAATGTGTGGGGTAGGGAGAGAGAGGGAAAGGAGGGAAACTCAGATGTGACCTACCTTGAATTTTTGGTTCTTTGAGCTATTAGAACTTGGCTTCATGTCAGTAGATTTTGAGAATACCCTGAGATGAAGAGCACAGAGGTACCACTTGACACCTGCCCTTGGATTGGGTCACATTGGCTGCTGAGTTCTGGCTTGGTGATAAGACAGTTTAATACATGCTAATTTCTTCCAAAAAGCACCCCTTTTAATCCTCCTTCTTGTGGCAGGGGAATCTATAAGGCATCTGCCACTGTATACTATAGTGCCTGACTCTGAAAAAGTTCCTAGTTTAAGGCTGTGATATCATATGAATTGTGTTACAGTGATTCTGTTTGTGTATGGATGGTTTTACACTGTTCTTAACCTGGTTTATAATGGACCATGGTGTGTGGTTGCAAACTTATGCTGATCTATGTATATGAGTTTAATATCACCTCTGTATTTTAAATGGTAAAAGTGTATGCTGACCTGGTCTATAGTGTTTCCTCTGCCTGGTTCATTTTCTACCCTGGCTCATGGGCAGAAGAAACGTAGCTGGCTTCACAGGTTGATGTTCTCAATGGGTCATCTTTACCTCTTCACTCAGACTCATGTTTCCTTTATTTTCTGGGAAAATTTGAATTAATACCTTCTTGGAATTAATAAATTCAAATGATTTTTTTTTTCTCCAGGTTCTCTGAAAGTTCAGGCAGAATGCTCTCCATCAGTTGCACTCAGCTCTTGATGGAGATTTGTATTTTTCCTACCAGTAGCAGATAGAGTGGCATGTTTTAAAAGAGAAGTAGTGTGGCATAAAAGGCTTGGTTTGTTTTGGGGTTTTTTTTGGTGACCATTCATCACCCCAGATCAGACTCCAGAATAGACTGAGCTAGAAAGATGTAGGACTGAATAAAGAAGATAGATGAATTTTTTTTGTAAGTACCTTGGTAAAGCTAAGATTGGTTTGAGAGCCTTAACCTGTATTTTGAAGAATTAAAGGATGCTTTAATGTTTCATAGAATCATAGAGTTGGAAAAGACCTCTGAGATCATCAAGTCCAACCATATAGGTCATATTAAAAAATACACATAAAAGGTAAAGGTAATTCTGAAGTAGTGAAAATACCAATGTGTATGTACATGCTGCTTATGTGTACACTGTTTATACCTCTTGCTTTAATCTTGTTCTTTGGTAATGACTTGCTGACCAATAAGAAAGGAGAAAAATCAAACAACTCTGAAAAATAAACCAAGAAGATGTTAAGTGTTGTATTACAAGGTAATTTAGTAGCTTTAAAAAAAATAAAACCAAAATGAAACAAAAACACAAAGAAAACTGCAAAACTGTGGACTGTATGAAAATGAACAAAGCTTGGAGTAGCAAATGGAGGTGTCTGTTTGCAATAAAGATGGCAATTGTACCCCATATTTTAGGGTTGAGGTCTCTGGGAGATGGTGAGCATATCACAGTGGGATACAGGAATTCAGATTCTCTAGGATTCAGATTTTGGGGGAACTGCTGAAAAGGGGAGTATCTGAGGAAATAAGCCAGGAAAGTGGGGAGCTAGGGAGTAGGTAAAAAGCAGTGAAGTGGAGGAGAACGTAGACCAAGGGCTTAAGCAGGTGAATGTTACCAGACATTGTTGGGTTGATTTAACCTGTTAGTACCCTTCCCCTCTAGTTGGATATTACCATCCCTGTGATATGCCAGTTCCTCATTCGTGTAATGGGTTTGTAAAACAAATGGCTCTCTGCAGCAGACAATGCATGTTGGCTTCTAATGCCCTGCTGCAGCCTGTGAAAGGGGTGGTGGGGTACATCCTTCTTACGTGGTCTAAGTGATATTTGACAGAGCTCATCCGCAAGAGTCATGAGGGTAGGCAGGGGGTTGTCATGTAGAAGGAGGAAAATATATAGGAGAGGTAGTGAGGTAAATGATGAGAGAGCTTAGAAAGATAACAAAATGAGGACGATGCTCTATCTTTCATATTTGTGGAGACAGAGTTTTAGAGAGGTGAGAAAGATGTAAACTCATCAAAGTTTGGGGCACTGAACAAATCATTTGCTGTGTGTTTAAAGTGAAATTTTGAACAAGAAAAAGCCACTAAGAGACAGGGAAGGAATTATCTCTTAATGGTAAAACAGAAAGAATTGTAATAAGAGCTGATGAAAAACAATGCAACTTCTTTAGCCTGCTGTTTGTTGTGCAGTCTGCCTATGAATTTATACAGCTTGGGTTTGGAAGTAGTGTTTAAGAGGTGTTCTTGGTTTTATCCCTTCAACCAAATGCAGTGCAAAGGATCTACCACTGTCAAGGGGTATTGGAAAGACCATTCAAGAGCAACATTGTTCAGTGTGTAGATTTTAAGCAGCCCCAAGATCTCCGTACCCTTCTTTAAGACTGTGCAGCTGCTTAGATGGAGTATTTGAAAGGATTATTTTAAATTTGCTCTCTTTCTTTTTTTTTTTTTTTTTTTTTTTTTTTTTTTTTTTTTGTCGGTGTAGAACCTGGAACTGTGCTCTAATAGCATCTTCCAGTGCAGAGCTGTCTTCTGAAAATCCCTCTGTTCTCCTGTTCTCTTTCTTAACAAATACCAACTTCTAGGACCTAAGAATTTGCTGTTCTTTCCCCTTTTACTCCCCTCTTACGTTTCCTGTCTTTCTACTCTCATCTCTTGTCTCTTTTCTGTGCTCTAAGAACTCAGTATGTAGTACCCATGGGCTTTGTCAAATTTGCCCTTACGTGAAATGTTTTAAACTTCCAACAAGCCTACAGAAGAACGACCTACAAACCAATGACCAGGTGAATGCTTTTGGGAGGAGTAGGGGCAAAAAAGTGAAAGGAGAAGGATGGTTTCCTGAGCTCTGGTACATGCAGCTTTCGTGTTTCAAAACTGTCCCTTTGTACAAAAGATGCAGAAGTTTACTTCTTAAAGCATCTTTGAATAGTGTTTGACATGCTTGCTTCCAGTACCTGCTCTAGCATTTCTCAGGTTATGGTTTCTTCTTGTTACTATCTGCTCTGTGATTATATATTACTTACCTTATTAAGTCTCACTTCTTCTCTTGACAGCTGCAAATCAAAAAGAGCCCTTGACTCCCAAATTTAAAGTGAAAGAGGAGCCTAAGGATGAAGAAACTGCAAGTTCAGCCTTGTCTCAGTCCAGCTATGTGTTCAGCCAGGAATCTGAAGCCTCAGCTCCAAGTGTCCCTGAGGAGAAACTCAAGCCACAGGAAACACAGGCAAATGTGATGAGGCAGGACATGTCGGTCAAGGCAGCATCTGAGCTCCTCATGAAGCTCTCAGGTAGATATTTAATTTAATAATATTCAACATCTTGTTTTCATGTATGCTATCAGGGTTACTTTGCAGAAGGAGTGCTTAGCTTTAGTAGCAAGTGAAGGAACAATTGAAAAGGTCTGTCTACACAGGTTCACATACATAAGACATCTCTGTTTGGTCTGTCGCCATAGTATCTAATTATCTGTGCTCTGGTTTTCAAATTAATGACTATGGGATAAGTCAAAAGAAATGATACCTGAAAGCCTTTAGATGTTGTCATTTTTAAAACGTACCAAAACATATTAATACCAATTTATTAATGTGTCACTTCATTAACATCATAAGAATGTGTGTCTGTACTGAACTATACCTGATACAGCTTTATAAATTATGACATTTAGAGCATTTATGTTTGTTGGTGTTTTGTTTTTGTTTTTGTTTTTTTTCCTGACAATATCTTGCACTCAAAATTCTAAGATACACTGTTAAAAAATAATGTAAACTGAGACAGCTTTCTGCTGTTAGGTAGGCCACTTGAACTTGGCTACATTGCCTTAGTGATACATCCTTCTGCTAGACCAGTAGACAGCATGCATGTGTGTACATGTATGTACTGTTACAACTGGAGGGAGTCAAATCAAAATGTACCTTCTGCTAATTATGTTTTGTCTAACTGTTAGAATCAAGGTTTAACTTTAAGGGAAAATGACAGGGTTGAATTCTCCCTGCTGGGAAGAGGTTAAGTCAATGACAAAAAGACTTTGAACTTCTACTAGACTTCAATTTTTAGGACTGAGATTGGAAAGTCAGTCTGGGAGGCTGGGTTTCACACTTCCGCACCTAAACTGGATCAGTTAGTCTTTCAGTCTTCTCCAAAACTGGACAAGACTTATTTTTTTAAGTATGCTAAAGTCACGCACGAGTTGCCAATGGAAACACTTACAAATTTAGTAACTTCTGAGGTCCCTACCAAACCTACCTGAAATTATTTGGCTTGGTTGGATACTGGCAACATTGAATTTGAGCACAAATTTATACCTGAGAGACTTTAACTGACAAGGATCTCCCCTATAAATTCTAACAAGCAATTAATTCACTCCTATTCATACCTGCACACTTTAATTTGCAGAAGAATTTGAATCATTGGTTTGCAAGCTTTCCATGTTAATGGTGCAAAAAGTGCTTCCCAGGTACAAAAGTTGATCAGAGCAGAAGTTTCACAGTTTTTCACAGACTCCCAAATAGTAAAAATTTCATTATTGATATAGTGCACTGTTGCTGGTGGTTACTGGTTCGAGTATGATATTCAGGTAACAGAACTTTACAGCCTAATGAATGCTAACCTATGACTTTATTTTTCTTGACATGTATAAATTTATATAACTATTTTCATAAAGAAAGGGCTCTGTAACTTAATGATTTCTCAAGTACTTCAGAGACACTAAGGTTCTTGATTGTGAATCTTGAATTCAGCACTAGCAGGCTGTATTTAAATAACTCTTTTACAGACTATTATATTAGAATATTTGTGCCTTAAATACCTGTTTGTATGAGTGAAATCTGGCGTGATAAAATCTTGGTCAAGTCTTCAGTCACTTCCGTTGGGAACTCCCAGTCTTTAAAGGTTGTAGTAAGAAATACACTAGTTAAGCACTTCTCTTATGAGCTCTTAGTGATTGAGCAGTTTATGCTGGTAGTGGTCTTTTTGGTTAATCCATAGATTAGAAGGTAGAGAATTGCTCTCGGATTTACTCGGTCGGTATTGCTGCAGTTGGTATTCCTGAATCAGCCAGCGGGTGGGGTTATACCAAGTTTATCCCTTACACTGCTTTCAAACTGCAATTTTCTGAATTACCATCTAAGGCAGAAACTATAAAGGAGGAAAACACTAAGACAGTTTAATGTAGAGCAAATATAAGAGGACTATGTAAGATCAATAGCCTCTTTACTATTTTTTGTAGTGTTTACTCTATCTGGTACAATACTCTCAGATCACTATTGACTTCCGAGCTTATTTTAAGCAATTCTGCACTCTGGTTTTGGTGATTTAGAACTTAAACAATTAAGCCGCTTCTTCAGAATAAAATGAAAACAAGAACAAACTTCCTCCTTTTCCCTGGTACTGGAAGGGGCAAAAAGAAGAATGGAAAGGAATGAGTATGTCTGGATGTTCTACTGTCTGTAGAAAATCTTCAGTCAAGTGCCCTTATTAGATTTGATTATAATTAAGTCAGGTCCTTCCAGGCTGTATATATTCTTGGTAAAGACTGAATGGATTACAGCCTTGTTTTGTTATTTACACTTTCTTCTGTGTAATACTAATTACCAAAACCTACACTGCACACAAATTCAGCAAAGGATTTCTGAAATAACAGTATTTTGCTTTCTGCATTCCTGACATACATGCTTCTGTTATCCCCTGGGCAGTAATATTGCTGATTGTTGCAGTCTCATGGAAGCCTCTTGGGATTTAGGCGCAGACCTTGCTGTCTTCTTTTGTGTGAAGGCTACACTGGTTCATATTTTTCACTGGGAAATCTCTTTTCCCAAACAGAGATGCTGTGTTGCTAGCTCTTAGCTGAGCTTGTACAGTGTAGTGGAAGGCCTTTCCACCTCTGGAGACTAGTTTGGGCAGTAAGAGAGACTTACTGCAAATCATCAGCCTCTATAATGGAGGGACTTGTCAGCCACCCAGAAACTACTCTAAAACTAGGAAAAGTTAGAATAATAATCATATTTTACTGTAGTAGAACATTAACAGAACATTTACTAGTTGTTTTTGTAGAGGTATATGTACAGAAACAAGAGAAAATCACATGCAGCTCTCTATTTTAGTTCTACTACGCAAGGCACTCTCTTTTCTCATGAAGCTAAAAAGCTGTCAGGACACCTGCATGCTTCTAGCAGCATACAACCAGTGTTTAAGACCAGTCCTTTACTGTGCCCGTTACTTTGGTGGAGTTGGACCTTATCTGGAGATGCTATGCCCTTTTCTACCAGTTTTTTCTCCACTGTGGTCCACTTGGATTCAGATCTTCTATCCCACAGTTCACAAACTTGATACCTAGTCAGTTGATATCTAGTTGCACTTCTTCCAAAGGATTATTCAAGCTAAGAAGGCTAATGTATCTTTGGCATGTCTAGGCTGAATGCATTTCCATCCAGATAGTCAAAACAAAGCTTCTTAACAACTGATCTGCTATTTAAAAATAAATGAAATGCCCATTTGGAAGAAATAGTCTTTGGAGGTTAACAGGTAAAGTTTGAGCCACAGTGCAGACTTCCAATGTACATTTTACAGAAGAATATAAATTTACTGCCATGATTTATACAGATGTACAAAGGTGAGATATGAATTCTATCAATTACCTGAGACTACATCTACTACAAAGCAAACAGATTTGAGGAGACAGTGGAGTGGAGCAAATGGCTCTCATCTCTGTTTGCAAGGGTGCCATCCCTGCAAGATTTTAAATTCATATTAAATGTTGAACAAAAATCACTTATAAGAAATTGAATTAATGTATTTTAAATACACCTGAACTAGTTTTCTACATTCTTACCAGTTCTCTTTTATGGAAAAGCAAATTTATTTCTCAAAATGTTTAATTAAGTGGTGCACCCAAGTCATCCTTGTTCAGTTTTATACACAGAGTCTTGTAAATTAAAAGGTAGGTTTCAGAGGAGGCTGAAATTTAAAATAATATTTTGCATTGACATGCTAGTGTTTGAGTCTAAAAACTCGTTTTCTGTTGAAATAGTCGTGCTGCTAATATGTTTTGGGCATGTATTCTCTTTCAGAAACATACAGTGTTTTGCCTTCTTGTCCAAAAATTAATGCATAGCTGGAGATATATAAAATGTATCTATTCCAAATGTGTCACAATTTTGGGTTATCAGCAGGTGCAATTAGTGCACTAGAAAAAAGAATGATAGTACAATTCCAGCATAGGATGAAAACCAGAACACCTCAATGCTACTCCCATTCCAAAAATGGCACATCATGAGTTAGGGCACAGTGAGATGAAGGACTATCTGAGAAGGCTTTAAATTAGCTCATACCAAAACCAATCCAGTCACAACAGCACAGACTTCCAGAGGAACTAAATAACAGTATTAGTTTAAAAAGTTTGCTAGCTAGGAGTGCTATCTATGCACGTGTGGCTGGACAGCTGGTGTCAGATTTACCTCATTTTAAGGCTTGGGTGGCTTTATTCTTGGCTGTCATCAGCAATGTGAATTGACAACAAAAACAAGTCCGTGCCTAGTCAGCTATTATTCTTAGCAGTCACAAAATATTTCGAGGTTTAGTGGGTTGCATTGTCAGTCTTTTAGTTTATTGTTCCTATGGTGAAAAAAACCCAATTACGTTACTACATTAATTGGGTGAAGTGGGAGACTAACTTTCCTATATATTTCTTTTTCATAACTTCCTGGGCTGTTCTGGGAAGTGATTGTATGGAGCTGTCTTTGGAGACAGCTGTTGTCAGGACCTGGTAAGAATCTCCATAGCTAGATTGCAGGGGGAGCTGTCAAGAGTGCTTTCATCCCTACTTAGAGAGCCTTGGTAACAGGCAAAGAAGTGAAAATACAGGGAAGTCTTTTGATCCTTGGTCTCTAAATAGCTCATTATAGAAGCCCAAAAAAGTAGATGGGGAAGCATATGACCCAAAATAAGACTTTCTCTTGATGACAACTACAGAGATGGCAAACCATGGCAAGTCATGTCACCAGGTTAAATCCCACTACTAGCCAAGTGGAGTTTTTTTGGTTTTGGTTTGGTTTGGTTTTTTTAACCAATGGAAAAGTGAAATTGACTGTTAATGGTTAGAGTGAAGCTGTATTTTAATTACAGTATAGAAAAAGCTCCAAGTTTCTAGATAGCTAGATTTATTATTGCAATGTGTCAGGTTCCAGATTTTTTTCCAATATTTTCAGACTCTCCTGCCAACGCGGTACTACGTGAAGTTTGTATCAGGCCATGGTACATTCATGCTTTTCCATGACATCTACATAACAACATA